TTTGAAAATTTTTATTTTATATTAAAAAAAACACCCCCGGAAGGAACTATTTTTTTTTTTTTTTTTTTTTTTTTTTTTTTTTAAAAGGGGTAAATAAAAACAGGAAAACGTAAGTTTTTAGAGCCCAAAATGACGACGTCAGCACCTTGCATGCCATGACAAGTTTTCCTCAAAAGTATTTGGTGTTTGTTTTCGCATCATACGAGACTCTATATAATAGGACTCCAAGTCAACGTTTCCAATTTGAGAACATTACATGAGAGGGGCCACTTGGCAAAAAAAAAAAATATTAAACATAGTCATGGCTTTATCAACACTACCTGAGGTACATTTAATAATTCTGGATTTATCAACTTGTTTTTGTTTCTTCTGAAGAGTAACAGCCCAGAGCCATTCTTTCAAGGAGCATTTCTTGTCAGTACATATAGATCTTTCTAGTAATTAAAAGATAAAAGCAATTAGTTTACATAAAGTGCTATTAATCCACACATTAACCAAATCATAACTTCTAGAGAAACGAAACCTGGACCGTAACTTTGTTATGTTGAGTAAACCGATCCTGATTTGGAGATGGTGATGAAAGCGATGTCACAGCTGGCCAGTTATCAGTTAGCGAATGTGGGCTCCTAGACTTAATTAGATCTTTCAACGTGAGCTCATTAGCAAAATTGACTTAAGGATTTTGTGCAACAAACTGAAAAAACGCATCTTGAACATTGTTTAACAAACCCCACCAGCATCTTGGGTGATGATGCTGTAGCTCCATAGAACCCATTTCACACGGTGTTATTGCACACTGGTTTGCAAATGTTAACAGTAAAAACATAAGAGTACAACTCGTCTTCACATTTCAACACGGTTTGACGGGGAACCTAGATTAGTATTGCAAGTATTGTTGTGTTGCTGTTATCTTTGTATGGCGATGAACAGCGACCCCTGACTCATTCATTTCCACCAGTAAACATGCAAAACAATGCCATAAAAACAGACCAAAAATAATCTTTTAAATCAGTCGTAAAATGCAACATGTTTCTGACATGAGGGGTTTAACAGTTTTTACATAGAAAGAAAAAAAGCAAGCAAAATAATGTGTATGGACATCCTGAGTCTTGCTGCTGAACAAATAGCACAGAACGCAGCAGACCTTATTGGTAGAAATGCCTCTCGCTCCGTCGATTCCTCAACTCAAGGACTCTTATATTAGAAGGTATATACGTGTATGAATCTGAATTTAAGAATACTCTTCAGTGACATCATAATGATCTGCATGACATGGATGAAAAGCCGTAAGATGAAAAGATTTGGCCTTTAACGGACCCAATTTAAAAAATCTTTAGCACGCATGTAATAAACATTGAAATGAAGGGGTGGAGCTTTCCTTCGAATTGGGCACTTCTGTACCTGTGCTCTGGGATCATACTGCAGTGCAGATAACATTCACGTTAGGGCAGACAAAATGGTATAAAAAGAAGAAGCAAGCGTTTCAGTTCTGGGCTCTGATTTCCCCTACAACAAAAAAAAAGGACTAAGACAAGGATCTCCCTTCCTGGATGGGGCCTCACCTATGAGCTTCCACTTAACTTACAGTTTAACTCCAAAGAACTTGACCACAAATTCAAGGTATTCTTTGCAAAGTGTGCTCCTCCTTTCTTCCACAATTAACTCAAGCTCGCACACAACCGTGCATGTATAACGTCTAACATATCTACAATGAACTCATTTGAATGCGTGAAGAAAGAAAATGACTGAGGCGTCCCATAGTCAGACCGACGGCTGCCACAGTTCAACAGGATAAAGGCTTAGGGAGGTGCAATCCATGACACCTTCCTTTGTTGAACTCCCGAACATCCTCCTTAAAGAGCCATGAGACAAACAGCTAGCACAGCTCCAAAGTTGCATTTATCGTGTTGGAGAGGCACCGGTCGCCTCCGTTTTACGTCCCTCCAGAGTGTCTGCGTGTTTGTCTGATGCCCCCCCCAAAGAAGTCTGTTAGTTCGCCGGAGGTTCCAAGGAAAATCTGTCATGCTAAACTATCAATGTTTTCACAGTTGTCTCTTTATCTGTCCAACAGGATTTATGATTCCCAAGGTAGATAATCGCAGCACATAGAAGAGAAGAGGGTGAGTACTGTAGACCATCTACCTCTCACTGATCAGGTCCATCCTTGGTCTCATCATAAACCACTACTCTTTTTGGATCTACAGCAAAGGGGAAAGAAAGGAGGCAAAGGGTTGGATTAGTCAACGCGGCATCAGTCTCACTGACGAACTGGAAAGGGTTACTAAACTCCCAAACGAACACAAGCGACAGATAATGATTGAAGTTAAAATGTTGCCAGTTTTGGGATATTTTGTGACTGAATATTAAGTTAAACATCATTGAGTTCATGTCTGCGTTGCTTACAACAGAATAACTGGCATGACTGCAGTACGTCTCTGTAGGTGGTTACAGTGTGGCCTGTTATGTGATGCTAGTCCATGATATAAACTGTCCTAGAGAGGCTCGCTAAAGGCATTAATGCTGCTTTGTAGCCAAACTGGAGCAATATTTGTTTCGAGTGATTTATAGCGCGGGAGGTAGATAAACATGCTGTAGGACTTTTGGAATCAGGTTACCACTATTTATGGACTACACGTTAGTCAATAGGTGTACACGCACATTAACCACGTAAAAAAAAAAAAAAACATTACAATTACGTGACTTGACTGCCATAGTCACAGGCTCTCTTACTCATACGAAGGTATTGTGAGCAAGTAGAACTCCATAACTGAAATATATGTCAATCTTTAGATCGAGCATGTACACAGCTTAGTCTGCATCCTCCATGTTTTGGTCTTGTGACATTTTTTCAACAATATCTTTCGCTTAAAGAAACCGCGTTGCCTCTGCTGCTCTTGCGGCACAAGTTATAAAGCTCACTCTGTACATGAATTGAAGTGATGAATAAAATCTACATCCTTTTGTTTTTCTAACATTACATCCCATTTGGATCAGAATCAGAACACATTCATGAATAGAAGTAAGTTCAGGCGTTTCACAAATCTTGTTTTTTTCTTCTTCTTCACTTTTATAATATGTTCTAACATTTCTAGACCGAATTCATGTTGACAAAACTGAAGCGCTTAAACATTTAAAAATAAATAAAATAGATGTAAAGAAGAAGTGAGACCAACGACTTTAGTTTACCTTGTTTTTGCAAGTTGAAAATGAATTCCATTTCTGTTGAGGGAAAACAAAAAGGCATATTATTATTATTATTATCAGCGTTAACTAGACATGATTATATTCATAAAATGTTTTTGTAGAACAAAAATGGCAGAGCCGACATTCCCACACTGGACTCAAATTGCTTTCAAGAGGGATCGACAGGAAAACTATGCAGCACGTAATCCAGCGTTAAAGTTTGTAATTTTATCTCCTCAATATCAGCCTCATTGTTTACCTTTCGCTCTCCCACAGTGGAATAAGCGCTGTATTGTGTTACTGCTAATCCACACTGGACATGTGCTTCACATTAAAAGCATCCAGCTGCCAAAACACGGGTGGCTTTTACTGTGAAAGCAGTCGCAAAAGACGCAATGCATTTTGTCACAGAGGTTGGCGCTTATCATAATTGTTCATCCAAAAAAAAAAAACAACAAAAAGAGGTCAAATGAATCGGCTAATATTCAATATATACATACACACAATATATTCAATCTTAAGGATTACAACTTAAATGGTTATACAAGTTAATTTGATAAATGAAGTAGATGGTTACCTTTAGTGTGATAAGTGACAGCAGCTTTAATATCAAAGGACCCCCAGCTACACCTCCTGCCAATGTCTTTAGAGTGGGCCGGTTGTTTGGAGGAGCCAAACGACACAGTGGTTAGCTGGCCCTGTGCTGGCTTAGCACCGTTGTCTTTACTGGAAGCCAACACAGCAGAACCTGCACCCTTGGCCTCAGCTTTCGTCTTTTCCTGGCCACGTGGCTGCAGCTTGATCTCCTCCTCACTCGGAGAACAAGCATCAGACACATTGCAGGGGGCACAAGTCCTTTTCTCTGGGTCTTGAGCTAAAGTGCCAAGCTCGAAGAATGATGGGCCAACATCAAAGCAGGGCTGGGCGGCCTTGGCAGCAAGAGAATGACACTCGCTTTGAGGTGCGACCGCAGTGGTCTTGTCCTCCGCAGGCACCTTGCCACCTCCTCCTTCTGGCCCCAAGTTGGGCTCATTTATGAAGGAAAGCCCCCACTGATTCTGGAAGATATCCCCCAAGGCTTTCTGATTTGTCTGAGCCGCCGGTGGGTCAAGGTGACGAGCACTAGGGAGCACAGGTTGCATATTTAAAGGGTAAATTAAAAGAGTTTTTCTAAGCTCGTATCCGTCTCCATCTACAGGACTGGTTGTGGAGCTACAGTTACTTTCCACAGGAGATGCTACATTCTCGCCACTTGGGAAAGACGGGGCTGGTGGAATACTACTAGCAGCAGGAGCAAAGAAGGTACCCACTGACGGGCAGCCGTTACCGGTTCCAGAAACGGGGCCATTAGTAAAGCTAGCTGAGGTGATAGTTTTCATAGCAGACATGGGGACCTGTGACAGTCTGACAGGAGGAGGCAGTGCCTCTCCTCCACCTTGAGCTACTTTGTTGAGGTTCTCTTTTACTTTACTTGCATAACTGATCTTGGGAACAATTTTTGCACTGCTATTGTCCACAGGAAATACTGGCGGGGGCTTGAACAAAGTCCACGAGTCCTCTTTTGAATTTGAGGAAAGCTTGGCTTTGTGCCTTTCCTCAGTCTTTTTACCAAAGGAGTTCTTCCTCTGAGATTCACCCATCGAAGCGTCTGACACAACAGCCCGTCGACCTGCTGACTGAGCGTCTACTTTATGGGCGGCTCTAAAGCCATCGAGTCTAGAAGTCACTCCCTTCTCAGCTGTCTCAAGATTAAAAGCCCCATGCTCTTGCTGCATGTCTCTCTCTTTGTCTCTTATCACATTATCAGTGTTCTTGGCGCTGTTACATCTGGCCTTGCGTTTCTTCGGAGTAGTATATCCACCTTCGGAGCCGCTGCCATCATTGTCCTTGCTAGAATAGCCATTTGTAATTAAGCCACAGTTTACGACGCCATTTTGAAGCAACACAGCGTCTTTCTTATCCATAGGTTGGCCCTCGTGATGGTTCAAATCCAGAGCCTTGTCCTTGTCATGTTTAAGGTCCATATTCTTCTTAAAGTCCAAGCCTTTGCCGCTCACTTTTGGAACAGTCGTGTACAGCTTTTGCGTTGATTTCTGCTTCACATTTGCATTACTTGTGTGTCTGTTACAATTGCTGTTGGGGGGGTACGACATGCCAACAGTATCAGACAGATGTGGATTCTTCTCCCCCTCCTCCTCACAGATGTTTACTTTTGTACTGCCTGAAAGGGGAAACAAAATCAGTCGTATGCATATGACCAGGCATAAAGTTTGAGTTTATACTGACATCATTCAACCAGTCTTTCCTGTCATGTAAAAAAAAAAAAAAAAAAAAAAATGCAATTAATTTGACCTCTACCACAAAGTAGAAGTTATGCAACTTACAAATATAGGACCCTAAAGTCACAAAACCTGGAAACTGATTAAGATGCTTTAGCTACCATCATACTCAGACTTAATAATAATCCAAGTATGAATTATCGGCATCATTCAGCATTAAAATGTCTCTACTATCCACAGATTTAAACTGGTGTGTCCTTCGCAAAGCACGAAAGTGCACCATAAGTTAAGATAAACACATTTATTGTGTTCACAGCTAACCTTTGTCTTTCCTGATGAATCATCACAGCAGTAAATGTTAGTAAGAAAGCGATGTTTTCCAGCAACATTTATCCCAAGCAGAGAGACGGATAGGATACGTTCATGGTGTTGCCTGAACATGTATCCCCCAACACATTCCACCATGTATTTAACAAGTCACAGACACGTATTACCCTCACAACTGTCAACTGCATAATGGACTGCTACCCGTTAACTTTCTTGATCTGATCCGATATCAAAGACCAGTTGCAGCGAGATGTAAATAGGAAGGCTCACAGCAGCATATGTGACATACATCTGGAGTGGCCGTGAACCACAAATAGGCCTGTATGCATTGCAACGGCACGGTTGTGTCAACGTGGGCCTTTAAATTAAACGCTGCTGCTCCTCATGTCCGCGGGCACAGCACACACAAGCTGCTGCATACAGCCGCGCTTCACTTACCATACATGCATGTTCTCGCTTATTTGCGCCGACATTAACGTGTGCCGCGAGCGGACGTAAGGTCGACGGTTGCAGTCGGCGTCTGTTTTAGCTGCAGCAACCGCATCGTTATCAACTGGTAACCGTGTTGTTGCGTGGCTTCACTTTGACCGGACAACATGCAACAGGCCTGTCACAGACGGCCTAACGTTAGCTAATGTCAACTAGCCATCCACTCGTTGGACATTAGGACGCCATGGTGACAATAGTGGTTGATTGTGCCATAAGACCGCGGCCTAACATCAGCAACCCGCGTAAGCAAAAGACAACAACGACATGCCAGAGTTGCACAGTACTGTGGTCATACAAACATTATTCACTCGCCCAGTAACCATAGCATTGGCTCGCAGTAATACTCTAACATGGCCGACAGGAAATGGCAGCTCCGAACATTCCAGTGGAGCCGGCTCGCTTTCCTAAAGTGGACAGAAGCATGCTGAAATGAATGATAGATATTTGACTGCTGTAGACAGCGAGTCGCCGTGCACACACACACACACACACACACACACAGCAGTTTATGCGTTTTTAGAGCACGCGGTGACACAATGGGATTTTCTGAGATAATTTTAGTTACATTTGCGAAATAAAAATGGGTGAAACTGGCGCACAAGGTCAATCCTTGATATGTCAAACCACCACCAGCGACAACTGTCACGCAACGTCAGCTAGCCAACTAGCTAGCTAACTTAATGGTTGGTTTCTGGTCCGACAGTGGCCAACTATCGGTTTAATCAGCACGCTACTCACCCGCTATACCGTGCCTTAAACTATTCAGGGCACAAGCATATAGTTTGAATTAATAGCTAACTCTCAGGCCAAGCTCTCAATCACGACGGAGTGCTAGTCGGCTCGTTGACATTAGCTGACTAAGGCTAGCAAGCGTTAGCTCACTTTTGCGGATGGCCCAACCTGTTTTCTTCGTCTGCGTTTCCTGATGCTGGCGCTGGAAGTGGCTCTGATCATGTTTTAGACTAGTTGTATGTTGAGTCGAGCGTCTGTCCTCTCCGTGGTGGTGATATTGCCTTTCTTGTGCCCGATCTCTGGGCTGTTCCTCCATTGAAGTGTAGAATGTCGGACTAGTTCAACCAATATGTTAGCTCACGGGGTCCAATCACTACCAGTGTAAAACGGAAGCTATTTGAAGCCTCTGTAAACGTCAGCAGTAAACGTCTAAAAATGGCACTATTTTGGGTGGTCAACGCCACTAAATTCCGTGTCTACTATGTCTAGACTTACGCATGGGAGTATTTTGCAGGACTTTTAAATCTCGGCAGATGTTTCACATTTCACACAAATAACAGACAAGTGATTTTTGTGTGAAAATCTTTTCTGGGTGGGCAGTAACGGGGTGGGGTTCGTGTGTGGACTGAAATCATATGACCGGAGGCGCTGCCACGTCTCCAGGCAGAGGACACTTGTGTGGAGGGTCCCGTGGAGATCGACCCCACTCCCAAAACGGAAAAAACAATTCATTGAAAATTCAATATACTTCTAACCTCAAACATTTCCTATTCACTTATAAGTATTTTACCACATGTCGAAAGAAGAAAATGGCTCTGTTGCTATTACGTTTTTTTTAATGATTTATTTGTTTTGGCATTGTACTTTCTTTTAAATGACAGTTTATTTCTTATCACATATAGTAATTCAATTTTTTTTTTCGACAACCTCTACTAAGGCATGATATATGATATTTTATAACATTCTGTACAATTACATTTTAATGTAATTTTTATAGCATACTTTCCTATGACTTCTAATTCAATTTTTATGACATACAGTACAATACTTTGACGTTTTCTATGGCATACTATGCCTCTTTAAATTATATTTTTATGACATGCTATACTGTGACTTGATCTACTATATGATGACTTTTATGATTCTTTTGATATAAACTGTGACCATTTTACTGTTGACTATACAATGACTTTTTTATGACATTTAACTTTTCAAGACATTTATATGACACACTACACTATAACCTTTTATGACATTTTTTGTGACATACTATACTATAACATCTTTTACTACATGACTTTTAATTAAAATATGGCCGCATGCTCAAGGACCTCAAGGGTCTGTTTTGCTAACAGCAAACAGGACTACCGGTACACACACTGCTCAGTAAATCACCGCCATTCAGCCACTGCTAGGCAGACAGCATGGTGAGCTTAATTTAGTTTTTGGATAGATTGTATAAAATGTCTTATACCAAGACTTCAAGCTTATGTTTTTGAGTTTGAATCAAGTGTGTTTACAGCCCATTAGTGACTAGACAGGTGCTTAGAGAATTGTGCATTGTATTCATTCAACCACCCAATACAGCAGTGGTCGTTGCAGACACACCTGACAGAGACTTTTGTAGATATGACATTCTATACTATAAAATGTAATTTTGTATTGCATTTTATGGCATATGACTTTTGTATGACATTTTTTAATCATATACTATACTTCAACATTTGTACAGCATTTATTTGGCTTACCGTACTATGACTTTTTATGACATACTCTACAATGAAATGTTTAATGACCTTTTTATGGCTTACTATTCTATGACGTTTTTTGACATTATATATAACATAACATTTTTATGGCATGCAATCAATGATTTTTAAAGACTTTTTTTATGACATACTATACTATGACTTATTTATGACATACTATACTATGACCTATTTATGACTTATTTATGACATACTATACTATGAACTATTTATGACTTATTTATGACATACTATACTATGACTTTTTTATGACTTATTTATGACATACTATACTATGACTTTTTTATGACATATACTATGATTTATTCATGACTTATTTATGACATACTATACTATGACCTATTTATTACTTATTTATGACATACTATACTATGACTTTTTTATGACTTATTTATGACATACTATACTATGACCTATTTATGACTTAGTTATGACATACTACACTATGACCTATTTATGACTTATTTATGACATACTATACTATGACTTTTTTATGACTTATTTATGACATACTATACTATGACTTTTTTATGACTTATTTATGACATACTATACTATGACCTATTTATGACTTAGTTATGACATACTATACTATGACTTTTTTATGACATATACTATGACTTATTGATGACATACTTTATGACATACTATACTATGACATTTTTTGACTTTTTCATGGCAAATTACATTTTACACTATACTATTGCAGCTGTATTGTAATCACAGTCTGCAGCTAATGGCCACTGGGGGGTTCTGCTGGGCCAGTTTGCTTATGGCTACATGAAGGGACGAGAGAACAATACTTTTTTATGTTTCCCTCCAATATGTCAGTGACACCGTTTAGTCAAAGCTGCAGGCTACAGCTGATCCATTTAGTTAAGAAGCATTGTAAACAAGGTAAGAGAAAGTAATGTGAACAATACTAATATGAAACAAATGTAATTTCTTACTAAAGCTAATGACTGTTTTTCTTTATTTTCTTTTTATGTAATAGTGTGGTCTAGGATATGATTAAGCTGTACAGTTTATATACAGTCAATGATACAAACCAGTTTGTAACCTGTCTGCTTTATATCATTCTCTCTCATAAAATATCATAACAGATGTAAACACAAAAACATTCAACCATGATCAAAACAGCATTACAACAATATTCAGGGCAGCAGTCTTACTACCTTTTATACATGTAAACTGGAGCTTTTTCTTTCTGGTTGCTATATATATGTTTGCCATTTGTTTTCTGTCTCAATCTTTCAGGTCATGGGATGGAAAGGACATGAGATTACCAAAACTGCAGATGCGGAGACATCTCAATCTAGAACATGGACACAGCAGCGGATATCCCGGTTCCAAGGACAGGAAGACTGCTCTTCCTCTACCAACCCCGTCAGACATTGACATAAGCATATAAACACTCTGTGGCATTGTTAAAGACAAAACCACCCTTTGGATATTTTTACCCACTAATGCCACAAACTCTTTGATCGTTTTTTCTTGTACTAACTGTTGAAATGCCCTTATTCTCTCCAGGGAGTACATATCTACCCCTCTGAAGAAATAGTAAATAAACAGGGCTGGGCGGCGTGATGAAAAAATGAATCTCTATATCGAAATACTAATGTCACCCTTTGAACTGAGCCTCTCTGGTTTCTTATCAGTCCCATGATAGACACTTTTCCCCCACCAAATTAGCCAATCCC